GTATAGCTATAACAGAAAGAAAATGACAGGTGTGTGTGTGTGTGTGTGTGTATAAGTGATAAGACAAAATTGATGCTGAAAATTATTTTTCAGTGGTGTTTTACATTAACTTGCCACCAAAATAAATAATGTAAATTTAATAACACAGCTTTCCATAATATATAAATATAGCTATGTAATCTCTATGGTAAACTAATAATAAAAAGCTAATAAATAACAAAAGATATTCTAGCAATTTTATACTGAACTTGATCTTCATATAGAATCATCTTTAATAAGCTTCTCCTATCTAATATAAAAATAGAAAGTACTAATTAGTGTGAATGAAATTTCAGAGGTTGGTCTAGCTCATCAATTAAACGAGATATCCACGAACCATATTTGATACTGACCTTTTTAAAATAAAAGAGGTTTATCAGAAGATGGCCTTAAGTTTAAGCGCAACACAGTAAAAATAAATTAAAATTGTGAACAAAAGGATTTGATAAATTAATGTTTCTTTTTCTACAAAAATTTCTTACAGCTATTATCCCTTTTGTAGTTAAAAAAAAATAGATTAATATGGCCACCTAGAGGAGAAAACATGATCAACAAACATACCATCACATTTTCTTACTTTTTCTAGAATATGTGTATTTCAAATTTATAACATATAACCTGCTCTAAAGGACCAATTGAAGGGGTTCATTTTGTATAAAAGAGACTTAGGGAGAATACTAAAGCAGCAATGATGACCTAATGCGAGCCAAAAAACATTAATTTTGCTGTAAACCTGACAAGCATAGTTTTTGTCTTGTTGTGTGATTTTGGGTTAAAAAAATCAACTTAAAGTCACTTCAATTCTGTAGAATCTTACCTACCACAATACATGGCAATGAAGATTAAACATGACAGCATAACAGAAGCAGAGTGAGGCACACAGCAGAAACTAAATAAATGGCAGTCCTCACTACCTGGTAAAAGTTCTCTTGCACTGTTCTCTCCTAATCCCTCTTCAGGTCCTGTCTTATCTTCTCTACTCCTGCAGATTTGTTTTCAAAATTGGCTATTCCAAAGCTTTTCGACTAGAATTACTTAGGGTGTTGAGAAATGGACTAAAGGTTCCTTATTAGCATTAATGAAATAAAATACTATGCCATGTAAAAAATGTGTTTTTTTTCCTTCTATCTTGTGATGCCCTTTAGTTAACTCATATTAGTCAAGTCTAACCTTTATAAACTTGTGTGATGGTCAAATGCGGACTAAAGGGTCAGAGCAGTAGGAAGTGTTAATTATTCTATTCATCTCTTCGTTTGTGTGTCATTTATTTTCTACTCACACAGGAAAATGAATGAAGTCTTACCAAGAGAACTGTACCCAGCAGTTCTCTTATGTGGGTGATCAGTCACCAAGTAGCAGTTTCTGCAGAGGCAGCTATGCCAAGGTGCAACCACCAGGTGGAGACACAAATCCTCGTCCTTCCCAAATATATACAAGAGGAGAGTATCAGTGGGCGGGAGGGAGAAGGTGAACAGCTGGGTTACAAACAAAACCCCTCAACTACCTTTCTGACTTTGAAAGTTGATAAGGACAGAGTAAGCGGTAAGAAAGTGTAGGCAGCAAACATACACTTCCTTACCACTTACCCTCTCCTTAACAACATTCAATCTGACTTCCTTATCACTCCCCTAAAACTTCAATTGAAAATGAGTGATCAACTTCTACTGGACAAAGGGGTTTAATCTGAATTACCACCCTCCCCAACCACTCTGCCTTCCTTCGTCTTCTAAAACTTTTCTTCCATGGCTGATAAAATATAACATTCTCCTAATTCTCCTCTTTATCTCTTTTACTGTTTCTTCTATTCTTTACATGACACCCTTAATTCCCCTGTCAAAGGAAATGATTTTCTGACGTTTTTTTCTCTACTCCTTCTCCTTCATCAGTTTAATTCATCTTCATAGTTTCTACTCTCTAAGCATATATGATCTGAAAACTTCTCCCTCAAATGCATTCATGATTACAAGCTTGATAGCCATTTCCAACTGCTTAAATATCCTGCCTCATCACATATGTAAAATCACTTACCCTATCTCTTACCCAGAGCTCACTTCCAACCAAACACAGGTCCCTCTCTGGATTTCATATTAAAGACTTCATCATTCTCCTCATCACACATGATGGAAATCAGTCATCTCTGATGCTTCCTTTCTTTTTCCAAATGCTCCAGACACATTCAGTTTCTAAATCCAGTAAGTTCTGCCTCAATAATATCTCTCCTATCCGCCTATGTTTCTATTGCTACTACTGTAATTCAGACTTTTATCATTTTCCACATATACTACCCCAAAGATCTCCTTAACTACTAGTATCTGTTCTGATAACCTGCTTGCTGCTAAATTAATCTTTCTAAAGCACAATGCTGATTATGGTTCCTTACTTAAAAAAAAAAATCTCTTCAGCAAATTCTCACTGGCAAACAAATAAAACCCTATCTTTCTAGTCAGGAGGCACTTCAGGCCTTAGACTTCATCTCTCTTTTCAATTTTATGTCCTATTGCCTCAGATGTATGCATATAGATGCACCTATGTTGGAGTCAAGCGGATTTCTCTCTGTTCCTGAAATATTCTCTAAATTTTATCACACTCTTCTGCTTAAAAACCTTCAAATGGGCTCTACATTTCCTCCAAGACAATATTCAAACTCCTGAGCAAGGCATTCGGTCCTATTACTTGCCCTGTTTTCAAACAAAATTCGAAAGTTAGAGGCACTGAAATACACTTTCTTTTGGATTCATGATTGCATGAAAGCCCTATTCCATGCTTGTTGAAATAATTCTCACTCACATCCAGTTCACCTAGATCCCATTAGACTTCTTCAGATTCCTACCTCCCCAAATCAAAATTGCCTCCTACTCTGTATTTCTTTCTTTTAAGTTTTGTCTTCTTTTTTTCCTTTTCGATATTTCTACTGCACTTTGCTCATGTGACTAACAGACCTCACCATATTATATTACAAACATACTCACTAATTTTCCTCCTCCAGTTTACAGGCTTTTTGAGAGAAACAAGTTTATGATCTTCATATCCACAGTATCTAGCAGTGTGTGACACATAAAAAGTGTTTACAAAAGGTTTTCATGCTTATGAAATAAATAAATCTAATCTCAGAAGGCCTAAAATTAGTCTACTCTTGAGTGTTTCATCAAATAATTTAGGGTGAAAATGTGTAAAAAGTACAGGATAGGTCCTAAACATAAGAGTAAAGTACAATGAGAAGGTGATTCTGGGACACTGGACCACTTGCAGAGGTTAGGGTAAGAATAGTACAAGCACCTAGGCTGTACCTCTCTCCTCACTGCTCTCTCCATAGGCTATAAAGTCATGCTAGACTAACAGAACTGCAGAGAAGTAATCAAGACAGGAGAGGGGTGTTGGGTGAGAAGAAAGAGGAATGAATAGAAAATAAATCCTAAATGTACCCTCAAAAAGAAAATGCACACTCAGGGCTTGCTAATGACTGTTTTCACTACTATTATAATCAACTACATTTACTGATCACTTACCTATTAGTGATCAGACACTATGCTAAAAACTGTACCACATTTATCATTTAATTTTCATGGCAACCCTACCAGTTCAGTATTATTCATATTTTACAAACAATGAAAGAAATCTAAAAACAATGAACTATATTGCCAAAGGTTTCACAGTTAATACATTAAGAGACATGGCCAGAATGTTAACAAGGACCAGATCTTAAAACCCATTCTCTTCCTGCTCTACTATTCATGTACCAAAGGTGTACATAACTTGGGGACTGGTTTTACTGCTTTGCATTATTTAATTAACTTAGTAAGCACATGTCTTGTTTTCCTTAGCATTAAAATGTATTTTTGAGGGTAAAATACATGTGGACTATTTATTTATTCCCTTGCATCTCATAGTCACCATATAGTAGTCACTCAGTATTTGATTGTTATCATATCTGTGTACCAGCAGACATGAGGTGCATTAATCTTTAGTTGGCATGAAGCCAAATACAGTAACAGATGATTTAGCCCCCTTGACAACTGTACATGCTGGTATAAGACTTTTAAGTCAATAGTAATAGGCCCTAAAAAATTAGTCAGAGCTATGAAATCAAGAATAGCTTTTGTTTATGTATAATGATAAAAATGATATATAGGATGTATTATTCTTTCCCTCATATCTGGGTATAAACATAGTAATCATGATGGGTAGCCATACATTCTGTTAAGCAAGTGAATAACTTATTTAAATGTAGAAATAAATATGCTTTAATTAATGGCAAAACACGTCTCATTTATGTCACAGAAAGATATAAAAACATGTAAGTGGACTGACATCTTCTACACAGGTTGAGTTCAAAGGTCAATTTCCACACATACAACAAAATCAATTAGAGACCAATAATCTTTGAAATTACCAAAATCCCTGAAAATCCCTTACACTGCCTTTAAAGCATAATATAATATAGTACCAGCTTTCAATAAATTCATCTCAGACAGTTTTCCCTTCTGCACAAAACAGATTACCATTTCTTCCGCTGTGTGCCATGTGCAACATTTGGCTAGTGTTTAGGGGCCATATTGAATGAAACAGCATACATTTACACACTGGAATCATATTCAACACCGTGAGAGACTTAAACTCTATCAGCTCCTATAACAGGTATAGAGAAACTGATTCCATCTGAGAGAACGGCAGATTCACATCTTCCATATCATGCTTGTTAAGCATATGTTCACTGTGAAATGAGAGCTCCAATTACCACATTACGTAAATTATTTGGTGTTTTGCTTTGGGGTGTTTTGGTATTGGTTTGATTTTTGGCCTGAGCCCAACGATATGAATTTGAATAAATCACATTCCCAGAAATATGACTCTACTGTGTGTGCTCTCTTGTTTATGCTGCAGCCACAGATTCTTAGAATTTCAGGCACAAGTAATCAAATATTACAGTGTGTTATGTAAAAAAATAAAACAACCCATCTTACCTTCATCTATTGATGCTTCACTACTGTATCCATCATACTCTGCAGATAGAGGACTGTATTTCTGCCTTGTTTCCCAAGCATAGTTCTTTTGTCTAGAATCTGCCATTGGTAGTCTTGAATTGTGTGTTCTGGATAAGGCCTCATGATATTTACCCAGTGCTTCATCTTCACTTTCAGAGGACGAACCATGCTCATCTTTGTCCATGTAAGAATTATCTATTTGGAATGACATGAAGAAGAAATAGTTATTTAAAAAGATTTCCCTCCCGTCACCTGGCCCTGCTGGGCCCATCAAATGATAATGTTAACACAATAAAGTATGGAAAATTTGCTGAAGTTATATATATAAACACACATGTATATATATATATATATGCAAATACATACAGACACACACACACACACACACACACATATATACAACCTGAATTTTCAGATTTAGAGAAATAAAATTTTTTCACATAAGCAGCTCAAGCTTTAGATTTTTATGTTTTAACAGAAAAAGATCAGTCTGTACCTTCTATTATATAAATAATGTTAGTCAAAGGGATTTTTCAACCATGTTACATATAAAGGAAATTATAATACTTACCATTTTACATTTTTTTTAAAGGATAAGCAACACACAAATGAAGTTCTAAGTATTGCCAGTACGTATGGATCTGGGTCAAATAATTCATGTGAAAAGACACATTTCTGGTTCTCGTTTTGGCCAAAATTATCAAAACTGACAATGCTCAGTGCTAGCAGTAAAATACAGCAATGGACAGGTATACACTATTGATGAAATTATAACTGATATTCCTTTCCTAGAGAGCAATTTGGCAAAACATATTAAACTTTTAAATCTGCATAATCTGATCCTTTTTCAGGAATTTACCTATTTCAAAAAATTCAGCCTAATAAATTAACAGATGAATAAAGATATATTTTTGAGAAAATTCACTGTACTGTATTTAATGGCAAAAGAGATAATTTAAATGTCCATCAGTGGGCTTTGTTTAAATAAATTATGATATATCTATTCAATGATATACTATGCAGTCATTTAAATTGAGAATGTGAACGTAAAAGAACTCTCAGGGAAAGAATAACTACTATATCATATTATGAGAAAAAAGGAGGTTAAAAAGTAGAAGTTATAATTATATTCCCATTTGAAAAATATACATACACACACATGTGGCATGTACACACACGCAATGCAGTGTAGGTATGCAGACAAAAATATCTAGAAGGATATACACCAAACTGTTAACACTTACTGCTTGTGAAATGTAGAATTCTAGGAAAACTTTACTTAAATATATTTAACTTTCAAACAAAACTTTCAGGAGTATAAATTTTATATTATTCTAAAAAGTACTAGTTATTACCAGTTTTAAAAAAAGGTAAACATTTTGAAACTGCACCATGGTGTAATTTCCCTAGAATTAGTAAACAATTCTAGAAAGGTGAAGAGACTGCAGCAGTTAAAATTCATTAGTTCAAGCTGGTTATTTTTCTCTTTATAGTCAGTTAAGATCATCTGTAGTAAAAAACCAAGGTCAAAATTTGAGTGGGAGTTACAGAATAAGTAATTTTATAAATACAGGACAGAAACTAATTGTTTAGAGTCAGAAGGAGCTTAGATGTCATCTAGTCTAGTCACAGTTTTTAAATTAGTAAAATAAATCCACAAACCGGTAACACTATCACATATTGTGTCAGTCACATATTGTGACAGTGTTTGCCCAATATGTAGTCAATAGTCACATGTGGCTATTTAAACTAATTAAAATTAAACAGAAATCAGAGCCCAGTTCCCCATGCTATTAGCCACATTTGAAGTGCTCAACAGCCACATGTGTCTAGTGGTTACTGTATGGAACAATGCAGGTATGTAAAACTTTTCTGTTGTTGCAGAAAATACTGTTAGAAAACACTGAGATGACAGAGCTATAAGGCCTCTGACTCCAGTGCAGAGCTGTTACCACTTTGTGGGCTACCATGGTAGGAATCTTAAAGCAAGAGAGGGTTCTGAGTCTCTTGAGGAGGGTAACTAGTCTGTGGTCAAACTTCACCTATTGAAAAACATTACCTAAAGTAACCTGCAATTAGAAATAGAGAAGAAAACCCTCCCTCCTTTTTCTATAACTTATAAAGCCTATGTCAGAACCTAGAATACCAGGTACAAGTAATATTACAGTTCAGCTAAATGAAGGGTTAATCTATGGGTCAAACAACTTTTGAAATGATTTTTGGGAACACTGCATGTGTAAGTTTAGTACTGACTATATTGTGGAATATGTGAGAAATATTTGGTTTCTTTAGGTATTAGCATGCTTCTTAATGAAAACAAATTTAAAAAATTAAAAACCCTATATGCTACTTGTAATGTATTAATCACTAGTGTCTATTCTACCATTATATTCTGAATACAATAATATGTAAACCATTTTACATTATTTTCAAATTTTTGCTACTTTAAGCAGTAAGGCTACCAGAGCTAAACTAGGCCTACCAAAGATCACTAAATCTGACAATAAAAAGACTGCTAGAAAAACAGATTCCCCTGGTCGACATGGTGAAACCCCGTCTCTACTAAAAATACAAAAAATTAGCTGGGCGTGGTGGCGCGTGCCTGTAATCCCAGCTACTCAGGAGGCTGAGGCAGGAGAATTGCCTGAACCCAGGAGGCGGAGGTTGCGGAGAGCCGAGATCGCGCCATTACATTCCAGCCTGGGTAACGAGTGAAACTCCGTCTCAAAAAAAAAAGAAAAACAGATTCCAAAATGGATACATTTTCAAAAACTGACATTTAAGTTAGTGCATCTATCTTGGATTAGCCTCTCCTCTATCATTGTAAAACCATTCATATAGTTGATAAATAGCAGATCCTTATTACGTATGTAGTCATAGCAGAACTGAAAAATCTTCCTTGTTACTGCTACGTGGCTTTTTGTTATTTTATGAGAGTATGACTTTATAGAAAATTCCAGATGTGTATTTTATAAACAAAAGCCAGTGTACTTTTGGCCTTGTGATGAAATCAGCAATAAATGGATGTGACTAAGAGATTACCAGAAGTAATTATTAGCACTATGAGCGAGCGGCTAGTAACGTTTTGAAAAATTATCTCAAGTACTATGATTGAAAACTATAAATGCTTAATTAGAACCTAATTCTATAAAGAGAACTCATGAATAATTAATAGATGATTCATGTATACTTACTGTAAATAGGGCAGTAATATAAAAATTTTAATGTATGGGCAAAATGAATAAAAATGTATCCTGAACGATGTTATTGAATAAAATAACATCTATTGCTCTCCAGGAAAAAATTAAACTTTGATATAAATTCTTATTAGGATAGATACAAAGAGCAATATTGTATAAGGGGCTTCGGAGTTAGTTATATAAAAATTTCAAAGCAACTACAGCACATCAAATAAACTCCAAATAAAGCATGTAAGAAAACCATGAAGTTTCTGGTTGTAAACTAAATGGACATTAAGAAAAACTAGGGCTGCTGAAAAATTGGCCAAATAATGCAGGGACCAGGGGCAATACTTAGTGGTACAAATATCATGAATGCTCTTGAAATGATTTTAGAAAAAATATTGAATGACTTTAAAAATGTCTCCCAGTAAAAGGATTCAAGAACATCTTCAATTTAGACACATGAATAGGAAAGCTGAGAAATTTGGATGATGTTTAAATAATTTTAAAAATCAAGAGAAAATTTAATCACTCACACCAACATTAAGAGACCTCACCTTTTTCTGGCATTATATTAGAATATTTTTCATTTTTAGTCTTTGCTGCTCCTTTCTTGGCAGAAATGGCCCCAGTTTTCTTTGGGTTCATGTCTTCTTTCACTTTGCAGTATTTCTTTGAATTTATTTGTTCTTCAATTTTCCCAGATAACTTATCTTTAGAATTAGTTGATGGTGCTAGAGGTATGTCTTCTTTAACAATGGATTTCTGTGTCATATGCCTATTGCTTGTCAAAATATCTTTTAAAGAACATCCATTTCCTGAACACTCATTCCCTTTGGATGCTTTACTTTTAATACATTTTTTAGCTTTCTTTAAATGCTCTGAATGCCCTAAATCAGGAAGATGCTTGTATTTATTGAAATGCCCCATATTCTCTTGATCTCTTCCCAAAAATACATGTGGAGATTTAGTATATTCTTCCTTTTTACGATTATCTGTACTAACGTATTTCTTTTGCTCATACAATTTGTTTATTCCATTGGCATTCTTCTGATTTCCTTTCATTTCTTGATATCCTAACTCTTTTAAATCATTCTTACCATTATTGGAAATTCCTAGTCCAATTGTTTTACATCTGTCAGTACTTTCAAGTTGTTGACAAGGAGATCCAGCCGTTGTATTCTGTTTGATAACTGATATCCCACCATTATTCATGCAGCCTTTCGAAGAAGAATCACCAATATTACCAGTGTCTTGATACTCTGGTAGAGTCTGCTGCCTATCATTAACATGTTTAAATACTTTTTCTTCACGTATTCCCTGATCTTGCTTTTGTGAAACTGAAGTATTACAAGTATTTATTTGCTTTGCTCTGTGCTCTAAACTGAATTGTGTTTTCTGACAATTAGTGTTTTGAGAGACTTCTGTTAACCCGGCATTTTTTGGTTTAGAAGTATCTACAGTTTCTTCTGCTGCAGAGTTTTCTTCTTCTGGGCGAAAGCCACTTATCATACTTGTTACCTGCTCTGCAACTGAGTCAGTTAAAGCATAGCTGACCTCCCCAACAGTAGTGGTCAAATCATCTACAGCACTACTGATTGTGTCTACCAGAGAGGACACTGAAGGCAGATTCTGTTGGAAATTTCTGAAAAATGCCATTTTCTAATTCCTCGTTCCTAAAAGGTGCAATAATGGAATTTTCTCTTCTCAAAATATCAACCACTTTGGAACTTGAATTTAACATTTACTTAAATGTTGCTATTCATCAGCTCAATATTAGCAATTCACATTACAGCTTTTAATCTTTCTGTAAATACATTATGCACTGAAAGAAATATGTTGAAGACTCTTCCGAAAGAAGAAAAAAATCAAACCATTTGGTTTAAACATAATGACATTTTTTCCCACTCCACAGCTATTATAACAGCAGCAAGACAATATTTTTCCCTCAAACACTATTGAATTTTTATTCTACACCTGAAAAAAGAAGCATAAAAAGGATTTTTATTATGTACTTTTAGTTGCTTATTAATAATCTATGTAAGGAAACTACCCTATCTTATTAATAAACTACCAATATCATTTCAAATTAAGAAAAATATTAAAGAAAAATATCTAAACAATTTTGCATAGTGGTAAGAATAGGAGAGAGGAAGTATGGACATCTGCTGAGTGGCTACTATATGTAAGGCACTGTAATTGACACATTTTATCCTACTTGATCTTATAGTGATTCTAGGAGATAAATATTATTGTTCCTATTTAATAAGTGACAGAAAAACAAGATTCAGTATAAAAAAGGTCCCTGAGACATTTTCAAGGGATCTTCAAGGTCAAGACTAGTTTTACAATAACAGCAAGGGGGTATTTAACTTTTTCATTCTCATTGGCTAACAAGTGAATACAGTAGTTATCCAGAGGCTACATGATAGATTGATGCAGAAGCAGAAATGAGAATCCAGCTGTCTTCCATTATGCCAGTCATTAAAAAGATTTTCAAAAAGAGTAAAACAAAATCACTCTTCTCACCATTTTTTCCCTATTTTCTTTTTGTTTTGAAAAAGTCTTTTAAAATTTAAATGTTATTTATATTAACATGTAATAGTCTTACTGGTTTTTTAAAAAATAAATTGATAAATAACTTTTAAATTTTCACAGTTTTAACTTTAATGTGGTACATATCAATAGATGTAATCAACATAAACAAAAAGCTCTTTGGGAATACTCAATAAAATTTAAAAATATAAAGGTATCATTAACAAAAGAAAAACCAGAAATGCTGAACCAGAGAATTACCAATGGCTGTTAAAAACATACTTTTAGCCAATTCTTTAACTGACCAAAAACTAGGACTGGAGTGGATTATGAGAAACATTAAACTTGACCAAATTAAAACTGTATAAAATACTATTTAGTCTCTTAATGTAAAAGCCACAGAATATAATTCTATAACTAACAGATTCTTATGAGTAATGGAGCTTTTTAAGTTAACAGATGTAAGAGTAAAGCATATCTCCAACACAGGTACACAAATAAGAAAAGCAAGATTTCTCAGCTATTGTTCGTCACATTCTTCTAAATTAACACTTTGCTTTTATAATTTCCAATTTGTTCCTACTATCATTTTTATAAACCAGTCTTTGGAAACAGAAAATTGTAAAAACTCTTGTAGTAATTAAAAAAAAAAGAAAGAAACTCCAAGGAAAACATTTCCATAAGAGAACGGTATTCATCTTTCGTAGTATCTAGTAACACTATAAATATGGTGCTAAGAGAGGGAGTGGAACATTATTTTTTATAGTCAGAACTGATATATAAATTAAGTTACTAAGTAAAACCACTTCCTCCAAACAATAAAATTACCCATTAGCTGAAAATTAAACAGCAGATAAAGAAAAAAGGTGAATACTTTCAAAAGTGTTCTAGGGATGTGAGGGGAAAAGCTCTCTAAAGAGCCACTTGGACAATGGAAGTATGCTACATAAAGTAACAAGATACTTCCTCCTTCTTCAAGCAAATCTGCTCATGTTATAGGTTCAAAAGCATATTTTAAATACAAAAAATTAAAATGTCATTTTGTGGTAGCAGACAATTCACCTGCATGTAACAGCAATTCGTGAACAACAGAAGGATATTGAAACATAATTTAATTAACAGTAGATATTTTACAGAATAATAGCTCAAATATTAGTTTATTATATGTCATAACCAACCTTTTTATTGTATATATTAAAATAAGTAAATAATAGTACAGATTAAAAAAAAAAAACAGAAGCAGCAATATAATACTTACAAATTTTATCTTGTGAATTCTTCCTTGTACTGTATTCTGAACCAATATCTGGAAACCCGCCAACATTTTCAAAACAGAACTTCTTATTAATATAGAGAAAAAGGAGCAGCATCAAGATAATAAACACCCCAACAGCTGACAAAAATCCAACTGCCTCTGGAGATACTAGAGAAAAAAAAGTCACAGCTGTAAGCATTTATTTTTCTTTAAGCTACAAATAAGAAGGAAACCCCCAAACATAAGTTAGCTTACTACCTTATTTGAATTTTGTCATAGTTTAAAAATAGTTTCGTTTATAAGAAAAACAAACTGCAGCAGCACTCATTCAAATTTTCTAAGTTTCCTTATAAATTTGTAGGAACAATCTTGAAAGAAAGGCAGGGGTCGGCCGGGCTCAGTGGCTCATATTTGTAATCCCAGCACTGTGGGAGGCCAAGGGGGAAGGATCTCTTGAACCCAGGAGTTCGAGACCAGCCTGGCCAACAGAGTGAAACCCCATCTCTACTAAAAATACAAAAATTAGCCTGGCATGGTGACACATGCCTGTAATTCCAGCTACTTGGGTGGCTGAGGCATGAGAATCACTTGAACCAGGGAGACAGAGGCTGCAGTGAGCCGAGTTTGTGCCACTACATTCCAGCCTGGGCACCAGAACGAAACTCTGTCTTAAAAAAAAAAAAAAAAAAAAAGACAGGAGTCATCAAGACCAGCCTGGCCAACATGGAGAAACTCTGTCTCTACTGAAAATACAAAAATTAGCCAGGTGTGGCGGTAGGCACCGATAATCCCTTCTACTGGGGAGGCTGAGGCAGGAGAACTGCTTAAACCCAAGAGGCAGAGGTTGTAGTGAGCTAAGATCACACTACTGCACTCCAGCCTGGGTGACAGAGGGAGACTCTGTCTCAACAACAAAAAGGGCCAGGTATGGTGGCTGACACCTGAGGTCAGGGGATGGAGACCAGCCTCACCAACATGGTGAAACCCCAGCTCTACTAAAAATAAAAAAATTAGCCAGGTGTGGTGGTGGCACCTGTAATCCCCGCTACTCGGGAGGCTGAGGCAGGAGAATCACTTGAACCTGGGAAAGGGAGGTTGTGATGAGCTGAGATCGAACCATTGTACTCCAGCCTTGGCAACAAGAGCAAAACTCCATGCAGAATTAGAAAAAAGTTATATCCCATGCACGGATATATTACTTAACAAAATTTATAAGAATATATATCATTATTTTTATCTCTAAAAGTTTCAGTGGTTTTCTTAGTAAATAAATTTTGTACTCCCTGATGTGGCAGTTAAAGCTCCAGCCTGTCTTTTCAATATTATACTTCAGTCAAATGCTGTACCTACTCTCAGAATCCACAATATTCAATACCATACTTCTTGTTGCTCCTCTTCCCCTTGCCTGGAATGACCAACTCCCCTCTGCTTTATCCTACCCATTCACTCAACCAACTTATATATTTTAGCACCAACACATACCAGGCATTGTTAAACGGTTACTGTGTTACTTGAACAATCTGGTGAAGACAGTTACACCAAAGTAGTGCAATAAAGGCTATAATCGAGAAAGAACAGGGACTATGAGAACCACAGAAAGATTTATCCCAGTGTTGAAAGATCAAGAAACCTTTTCTGGAGGTTATAGACTCTATGGTTATATTTCAAGAATTAGTAAGAAATAACATCTGCAAAGGCCCAGAGACAGAAGATCAAGCTATATTCCAGAAACTGAATGAAATCATGTTATGATAAGCTACTAGGTTTTCAAGAGAATTTGGTCTCGAGAATATATGAAATCACCTACAGAGGTTTCATACAGTGGGAAAAGACAAAAGACAGCTTCTCCAGTCCTTGGCAATCTTTCTTGCCTTTCAACTTTTTTATTACTTGTCACTCTACCAGTCATTTGGAGTTAAACAGGAACTAAGTTTTTGTATCCTCAATGCCTTACAGATAATATTGAAGTATTAGCTGAGAATAAATTCTAAGCTTCAAATAACCCTGAGAAGATCCCTGTACAATCTACTCTTCTTCCTCCATCACTCAAGCAGCAATTCAAATATTATTTTCTCCAAGATTCTTTCTTTAATCAAAGAGAAACTGCAATTAGTATCCTAACTCATTTATTAAAAATTAAGTCACCAACTGGTCAATGATAAGTGCTTTGATTTCCTTTTACATTATTTATAAAAGCTAGGCATACCAGGTATAGAATTGAGTAAGACATTACATCTTTTCAAAGCTGGGTCAATGATATTGCAGAAGAAGATGAAGCAGAGAGTAACACTGTAAGGCAGGGGCAATGGGAGTGAGAGGATGAGGCAGTAGGAATGGTAGAAATGCTAGCTGGATATCAGGCTTGTGCTGAGGAACAGACATTGTTAATAGAACCAACAAATTATAGCCAGATATGTTAGCCTTGCCTGTCTTGTCCTCAGACTGAATCACAGCCAGGGAAGAAAACTATTTTAATAAAAGCTAAGGTTTATGACATAAAAACAGTGTTATGCATCAAGCCTGAGATACGGAGTAAAAATGAAAACAGTAGTTATCATCAGCATTTCAGATAGCTAGGAAAATCAGAAGCAGGACAGAATCTGGTATGAAGAGGCAAAAAAGAGGAGTACTTCAATATTACACTGTAATAATAAATATATATAAAAGTTCCCCTTTTAGTCCAGGCTCAAAACACTCAGACATTCAATGCCTTAAGTGGCTACATAGGATTAGGATATCAGGCAGACTGGTTTTCCATTTGTTGGAAAACTAAATGACAAGAGAAAATGTAGCTCATGTCACTTAAGAATGCTAGTTACTGCTAACAAAAATAGCAACAAAACCATATAGCACATACTATATACCAATCACTGTTTTAAGCACTTTACATATATTAACTCATTTAATCTTCACAATGATCCTATTATCATCCCCATTGTAAACTGAGACAAAGAAATACTAAATTTTGTGTCCAGATAGTAAGTGGAAGAATCAGGATTAAAACCCTGTCTGGATGCATGGATGAATGAATGAATACATGTGTGTTCAGGAAAGATCAAGAATATACCAGAGGAGCTGTGACTGGAGATGAAAGCAAGGTCCAAATTGTCAAAGAACCTTGAATATCATCCTCAAAATTGTCTATTTGGGGAGTAACATGATTACAAGTTTGCCTTGTAGAACTATATTGGTTAAAACAGCTAGAAAACTGAAATACAGTAGCAGATCAATAGTGGCAAAGAATCTTCAGTTCTTAAACTAAGTAGTACCAGTAATAACAGAGAAGGGTGAAGTCTAGTCTTTGTTCAAAGAAAATTGATAATGATCCAGTTACGTAAATGTAGAGGATAAGAAAGAAGAAAAGTTGAGGTTAGTTCTAAAGTTTCTAGTTTGAGTGGCTGGGTAAATGATAATGCACTAACCAAAACGAAAAATATGAGAAGGTGTTTGGATTAGAGCATGGGAGGAAAGAGAGAAATAGAAGAAGGATGACAGATAATTTAAAAATTTAATGGTCAAGACAATTTTATGATAAGTACTATAATATTATCTTGGTCTTTAGATTAGTAAACTGAAGCCCAGAGAATAATTATGTTGTCCAAGATCACAAATCTGTGAAGTGGTAGAACCTGGACTTGAATCCAGACACTCTGACTCCAGAATCCATGATCTTAAACACCAAGGAATACTGCTCCTTGTATGCCAAACTGCATATAAAAGATAAGAAAAAGCTATGTGACCAAAGTAACATCGTTTACTATATATATTAGGAGAAAATATTTTATTTATAGCTTTCATATATGTTAAAAAATAGCAAGTGATTTCAAATTCCTCAAAATAAACACAAATTTTCAAACTGGAATCTAATTTTTTCTGTTCAAGATACTATTCAAAATATTTAAAAATTAATTTTAGAATTAAGTTTAAAAAACAAAATATATGGTACATCCTTATATGCCACATTTGAAAAGCTAATCATTAAAAAAATAATAAAATTATAGTCTTATTAAAGTCAAAGCCAGAGCAAATCCATTTCGACTTTGAAAGTATTGCAGAATTCACTTAAATTCTACATTATATTTTGTTATGAAAGAACATTTTCTAGAAAAATACTAAATATACATAAAATAATTAAGTTTAAAGGGATATTTATCTACTAAACCAACACATATTCAATTTTTATTTACCTGTACAACAATAATACTCTAAATATTTTTATCAAAACAAATTATAATTTCTAAAATAAATTTTACAAGACTATTCATTATATTTTAAATGCAAAATTGAACAAAAAGTACCTATGCTTCATCTAATTATTTTTTTAAAAGGATAAAAAGCAGCAACTTACAATTTGCATTATAAGGGATGTATTGCTGATTTGTCCTGCTGGGCATGAAACACTAATCCTCTAACCCCATGTCATGGAATCTTTAATAATTCATTTAATAGATGCAATTCTATCTCTTGACCAAAATGTGAACTGTCAAAGTCAACTTTCATTGAAAAAGAGAAACCTGTTTTGTACTTCATTATCTCTAAATAATTTCCCTGTATTTTAATGAGAAAAATGCTATAATTTATTTTGCTCTGGGTTTAAACATAAAATAGAGAAATATTCATAATTCTAAGAGATAATAGGAAAATAGAAGATTAATATGTTTGTTTCCTTTTGTAACACTTCAGTTAGTTCACAAATAAAATTTCCCTCAAATTTTTATATTACATTATAAATGATGCAAAACTGGAAAGAATATATGTAAATCAAAAAAATAGTGTAACAATGCTAGCTGTTAACTCTGGATTTTATAAAAACCAGTCATTACAAAAAGCATTTACTGATAAAAGTAATACAATTAACTGGTGAGTAACTTAAAGGGACAATAGAAGAAGGTGCAGATGGTAATGATGCAAAACAGTGTGTAAGATCTTAGGGAAAAAAATGCCCTCTGAGAGAAAGTTACCTGGCTAGGTTGATAAAGGAGATGCCACCCAACCTGTTTCACATTTCAAGCCATGAATAGATTGAACCTGTATTTCCTCTAGGTACAATGCAATAAATTGAAATTTCATTTGAATATCATAACAAAAAACCCTAAATGAATCCTGAAGAAATTAGAAAAAAAAAG